CTATGATTAAATAAGGTGCACCACTTCCCAATTTTTTTTTTTCTTCCATTCTTTTCAACCTAGCTAATTGGAATCCTTTTTTTTCCCCGACCTGTGCTTTTGTATGGGAAGGATGGAACAGGCATAATAGTCACCATGAGAATTTGATTGTTCTGAATCTTTCCATTTGAAGATGATGATTTTCATGGTTTCAATGATTGCTCCATTTAGGTGGCTGCTTTCAACTTGGGATCGACAGTGGTGCTCGTGTTCCAGGCCCCCACATTGAAAATGCTACAAAACAGGGATTCATCTTCGGAGTTTAGGTTCAGTATCAGGCGTGGAGATAGAGTGCGTGTTGGGGAAGCTTTGGGGAGGTGGCATGACTTGTAGGAACAAGCTTGGCGCGCGCGGTACATTGACAATAGAGGGCAAGCGTTTGTATAGAAATTCTACATCAATGAAGGTGGCGAACTGATTTCTTACCCTATTTCTTCGGGGTTTGAAGCCCTCGACTGCTCAATTTTTGTTTCCTGAAGCACCTTTGATGGTCATTGAAAAAACTCGGTTATATCCTAGAGGTTGTGCGTTCAAGCACCATTAGGCATCAAGCAACTCACTCCATGGGTTCGACTGTAAGGACAGTACTGGTTCTTCTGTGTTTTGGTCACATTTTTGTTTGATTCTAATTTTATCATATTACATTATTGATAATTTGGTTTTAGCTTGGGTTTCTTCAAATTCGGGAAATGTCCAAATTTTCCAATAGAAACAACAAGGTATTGAGCATCATCATTGATGATACATGTAGTAGTAGTGTTCCAGCATCCCTCTCTTCTATCCAATCTGAAATCATCAATTCGGAGATCTACGAACCATAATTTATGCATCTTAAACGACGTCCTTCCACACATTGAAAATCATGAATTCGGAAAATTAAAAGCAAAGTTTATGCATAGAAAACCTTAATTACAGCACAAAAAGAAACATTAATTAATGAACCAAAATCAGATACAGAGCCCTTGAAATCGTAAAACCTGTCCGTCCAAATTAACATTATTAAATAGCGAAACTCCGATTTCTATTAACGAAAACAACATAAACCTTAGGGGTCTTTTAGCATCATTTAAGGTTTTCATCTCCCGTTTCTATGTTAATATTTTTTTTTCAAACATAAATAGAAAACTTGATCTTTTGATAAATTTTTTTGAAAAAAAAAGCCAATATCCATTCTGTAACAATCCCACAATTAAAAAGAATAAACTAAAAAACAATTTGGAAGGGATTGTAAAAACAATATTTCTCTGTACACATTTCACTATGGACACAAATAATGTTTTTATCATTTTACCTTTAACAAAAAAAAAACCCTTTTATGCTATTATTTGAGGGTGAAATACCATTTAGGTGTTTTGAATTTGATCAAGGATAATTCAAGACTTTCCCTTATTTTGTAAATAATGAAATTACAACAACCTTAAAAGTGAAAAATTATAAAGCTTACATAAAATGTATTGTTCCTTTTCTTTTCTTTTTTTGTTATTTCTCCTTTCAATATATAGTAAAATAACATTCTTGCCTTTAAATTAAAAAAAACAAAACTTCTTTCTATTCATAAATATATAGCAATTAAAAATTTAAAGCCTTGAAGTTGAATGCATATTTCTAATTGAACGATTTTATCCTCCTCCTCATCATCACGTAAAATTAAAGATAATTTGATAATTCAACATATATAAAATATTTAAAAATATATAATTAATGCTTGTTGTGCATATGTCAGTGAATCGACCACTTTATTATCTTCTGATGACATGTGCTGCTAGCTAAAATGGTAAAAACATGGTTGTATAGAATTAATGACAATTTGATAGTTTAATATATATAAAATATTAAAAAATTATATGATTAATGCGTGTTCTGTACATGTTAGTGCATCAACTATTTTGTTATCTTTAGATGACATGTATGACTAGCTAAGATGATAAGAACATGGGGTTCTAGGGTAGCGTTTTATTCTCCCTGGCCTCCCCTCCATTCTTATACAGCTCGTGTTATAAATAGAGCTTTGGTGTGGTACCGGTAGCCTTCGTTTATCTTTTTTTCTTTTTTTGGATTTAGTTCATGTTTTTTTTAGTAATATTTATTTATTTTAAATAATTTAGATTTGTTTCCTGTTTTTTTTTTTAATTTATACTTGTTTAATTTGAGATAATTTCTAAGATAGAGTTTTTTTTCTATTTCATCATTTTTTAATTTTTTTTCTATTAGATTTTTTATTTATTCTTTTGATTGCTATTTTTTTCTTTTGCTTTGACAACTTTTTAATTTTTTTTTTTTTTATCTTTTAACATCAAGTTTACTTTGACAACTTTTTAATTTTTTTTTTTATCTTTTAACATCAAGTTGGTTTGAAATTTAGTTTCTTCATTGATCTTAAGTCTAGCATTTCATGTGTTGCATGCTTAGGAGATTAACTCAAATTTAGAAGATTCGTTCGAGTTTGTTTTGGTTTTTTAACCTTTTTTAAGCTTATGTTCTTTTGATTTCATCTTTAAACATTTATTTTATTAGAGTTTGGGCTCCGTTATTTTTTTATATGCTTTCTATAGCCTTGTTTTTTTAATGGAGTTATCTTGATTTTTTTTATGTATTATTCTTTATTAAAATGAATAGAATTAATTGATTGAATGTGGTCATGAAATGCTTGTTTCATAATGTTTTGTTTTGGTTTGTTTTATGAGTCGTTGCTTTAGCAAAGTGTATGATTTTTTTTGATGTTATCATATAGTTTTTACTAGTAATGTTTAAATTATCTTAATAAACTCTTCTAATGATGGAGTAGTGTCCATGGAGAAAAGACGAGGGAGTCTTTAATAAGCTTTTTTTTATGTTTATCAAAGAATTTAACACCTTATTTTTTACAGTTAATTAAGTTAATTATTGTCAAATATTTTTTTCTTATAAAAAAAGTTCAAGGTTTACACAGTGTTTAACATAGACCTCCCTTAATTGATTATTGGCTATTACTTTTTTCAAAGGAATGTAGATAAAACCCCCTTTTCAAGCAGAACCTCTAATCATATATATATTAATTTGAAACACTTGTCATACGACGATTTCTCCATATGTACCCCCTTGCGTACATTTGCTGTATAATGTTGGGATAGAAAGCGACTTATTTAAGTCGTGCATGATACCATCAAGGGAACACGTAGCAGGCAGCCGTTTGATTGAGATCATAAAGAGCGTTCTACATATAAACAATATTCATCAATAAAAGTCACCTGTGGAAATCTGTAGATATTGATTTATTGACTTTTTGTTTGGTTGCTAAGAAAACTGAGAAACAAAGCGGAATCTAATCAACCCCAACCATCTAGTGAAACTTTAAGGCGTTGAGCGCGAGGCCAAGCTTCTAGGATTTAATTTCTGATGTTATGGTTATTTTTTAACTCAGACTGGATTTGATTTCTTTTTGTTAAACTGGGCTTTTTTTTTTGCTTTTTTTTTTTTGCCATGTCTTGTGCTGTCACTGGGCTTTTTTTTTTTGCCATGTCTTGTGCTGTCATCGATGCCGAAAACTCTCAGTGGAAAGAAATTCAATTATGTCGATAAAATGTATGCGACTATCGTCTTCCATTAACCAGGAAAAAGAAAAAAAAAATCAGCATGTAGAAAAATTAAAAAATACAAAATAATAATAATAATAATTTAAAGTAAAAAAAAATCAAAATTTTAAAAAACAGCGCAAATAAACACACCCCACCCCAGTGAGACTGGGTTAAGAAATTGTTTTGTTGAGCCACAAAAATAATTCAAAATTTTAAAAAACGGCGCAAACAAACACGGGACTGGGTAAAGAAATTGTTTTGTTGAGCCACAAAAATACTGCTCTTCCTACTCCTTTTAGTGATTACTGAATTTCCATCCCCGGAAACAGTCGGAAACAATAGCACCGAAACTGTCTTTTTAAACCCCGGCAAGCATCATCGACCTCATGCTTAGAACAAAGCCTCCTCACTTCACCTTGCTTGAGAGGGTGATGGAGCCCTCTAATGTTCCAAACAAGAACAAAAACCATAAAAAAAATGTGACATCCTTAACTCCAATCCCATGCTGGTAGAGGGGCTTTTCTTAGCAACACCGATCTTTTTCTTACGTATTCCTGCCCCTTTTGCCTTGGCTTCATCAACGCAACTGCTTAGCCGCACCATTTGAAGCTTGCCTTACAGCTCCAAGGGGGTTACTATACTACTTGCTTGGGACAACTAGCAATTCAGAATCAGACTCCTTGTCTTTTCCCAAATAGATTGATGCGAGTCTACTCTAGCAGTAAAACAAGCTTGTGCTTGTGTCCATGGAGAATGATTAGTAACTAGTAACCATTACACTTGATAATACTGGAGAATATATACATGCCTCGGCTAATCTTGCTTTGAACGTTGAAGCACGAGACCCTTCATGAGTCCAGGAACATACCCCCCCAAAAATCCAAGGCAAAGGATTAGGCCCACTTCCCTTCTCGGTAATGAGGCAAAAGAGTGGACTCTGAATACGAACTGCTAATTTCAACAGAGCAAGCGACTTGGCAAGGTTGGCTGTGAAGTAAAGACGAGAGATTGCATTTACCAAATGTGAGAGAACCCTTAAAAATCAATCAGCTAGACATAATATCTATCTAAGGGTAGGTTGCAAGATTTGAAGATTCACATGGATTCGAAGTAGCCTGGAAAAACATAATGAGGCGTTGTGCTAGAAACTGCACTGCTCGAAGCCCCAGTTAGTCTCAACCAAATACACCTTCGTACCAAAACTAATACAACAGTAAGAATCTGCAACTCCAACATGCGTTTGTTAAAAGCTAATTTCTTTCGTTTTTTGTAAGTAGTGATGTTAGAACCATGAAATCTGCTACTTTTTTCATACAGCACTTTATTGTCTCCTCATGCACCCATTTTAACTATCTTCATCTCAATTTAAGGATATGCTACAAGTTTACCGCCAAACATGCACAGATAGAGTATAAACACAGTCGGAGTTCCACAAAATTGATCCACTCCTGAGTCAAGTTCTCAAATATATTGTAACAGATCTTAGAAGTTAGAACCAAACCAACATCATGGAAATCTGATAAAAAAAAATTTCAACATCCTGGCAGCTTGTTCCTGAGAGGATATGGTTTCAATAGATGATAACAGTGAGTAAATGCATAAGACGCCTCCATTCATGAGGGTAGAGCAGCAAAGATTATCGGCTCTGACCAATCTTGTTAACACCACTTTGATCTCATCACACCCTCATGTATTATGCTTTTTCTCTGAGATGGAACCACAACACATCTGTGAGACTGAGCCATGAAAAATCATTCTGTAAGAATCTAAAATGTTTCTGATCCTTGTGCATCCTGCATTGTCTTCACCACCAAGCATTTCAATTCCAAATGGTAGCTGTTTCCACGGTAGCTACTAGCAAATAGGCAACACATTTCAACCATATATATTTTCCACTCTTTTCTACATTCCCACTTGAAAACAGCAAATTCTGTCATTCTAACAGGTCGTTCCATAGCTCAGACTGATACAGAGAGCATGAAACAGCAGAACAAAGTTTATTATTCCATGCTAATCGAGTAAATCCAACCATCAGGTAATTCACCAATCACTGGCATAACCCATGCTGTCAGGCATATCCAAAATACAAAAATGTATCACCGATTAAAACAAGCTTTCTGCAGTGTCACCAGACATTCTAAATTCTACCAAGCAGATGCGTACTCTCGTATGCATCTAAGAAAGATCACGAAGAAATCAATGAAGTGTCTATTCTCGTTACACATATTTTCAACAGAACGAGACCAAATTGTTTGGAAGAAATTAAAAAAAGAGAAGACAAACACAATCACAAACAGATAAAATTTATTCAATCAAACAAAAAGAAGTATCTATTTTGATTAAAAAAACATGGAATCAAACCACATCCCATTTTATAATAATCAGAGTTTGTTTTCTTTCTTTTTTCCCAAAAAGAACATATTAATAACAGAATTAGAGTTTCTGTCAATTACATTTGTATTTGCACAACTGTCAAAAAATACCTCATCTTTTTCTTGCATCTTCTTCAAACTCTTCAACTCATCCAGCACCAGATCTCCCTCTCTCTTTCAATCACTACCACGCTATCAAAACTTTGCCCTGAGAATATTAAAAAGAAATAATAATTTAAATTTCCTTCACATTTAACCAAAATCAACAGATTAATAGCCCTACCAAAACCTAATAAGATTAGTATGTAAAAATCAGTAAGAATAGGCAAAGGCACACCTACGTCTGTTTGGAGTAAGAGGAAGAAGAAGGACCCCGCTTGTTACGAAACATCATGTAACCGACGGGTAACACCACTCCAATCATCATTAATGCTGCGCCGATTAGGTATCTTATCGGACTCGGTGGCTCCACCTCCATGACTCTCCTGTACTGCGCCCGCATGGTATCTTAGGAATTTGTAAGTGGACAATGATAACAATAGATCCAGATCATCCATAATCAGGGAGGGAGAGAGACTTACAGGCATTTTTTTTTATACGATAGAAATTGGATTGATCGAGTGTATAATTACAATAATTGTACAAATTTTCTCGCTTGGCGATTGAATGATTGCAGATTCTTTGGCGAAATTGTGGGGAAAAAAAGATGCGGAATTTCTAGTTTCGCTTACTGGTTAGTACCTACCAGGATATGAATGATTCTGTCCTGTGAGATTGGTCCAGTGAGTTCTATTGACCGCTCGATAGTTGCCACGGGGATATCAAAATGACCATCGAATCGTGTATCACGTGTCAAGGTTCTACGGGATTTACATAAAACGACACCGTCAAGACAGACAAAAAAAAAAGTGAAAAAATCCTGAAAATGTGAGCTTCAACAGCCAACTACCCCGAAGGGTAAGGCCGCCAAAGTTTGTGGGTGCCTTGGCCAGTGCTTGTCCAATTTTGAAAACTTAAAAGAGTAGAAAAGAACTATGAATCTGACACAAAGAAGAGTGAGTTCAAGAATCCCTCAAGTAATTGGATTCGGAAGGTCCTTCAAGTCGTCCCTCAATCCCTCCTCTATTACCCACGGCATCCACGTTTTCCAATGCCCTGTAAGTCAATTTATTTTATTACAAAGAAAGAAAGAAAGAGAGAGAGAAATGAATTGTATCTGTGTCAAATGGTTAGGACTCTGTTGGTATTGTTGCGAAGCTCTCGGATTGTATTGCTTCCAGAGGTGGAAACATTCTCGGTGCTGATATTTTCGTCCCTCAGAACAAGAATGTCTTCTACTCTAGAAGGTATTACCTCAAGTTTGTTATTCCGGTTACCTTCCTTTTGCTTGCTAAATTCTTTGCTCAATGACAAGTTTGTGACGCAGCACGTGTGGTTAGATTCAGAAGGTTAGATTTGGCTCAATGAATTCTTGATTTTTTTTGCAAATGGGTTGATGTTTGTTGTGGTTTGGGTTCAAGGAATGGTATTCAAGGAATGGTATTTTTAACGTTGAATGTAATTAGGAAGCAGCAAATAGGGATTCAATTGCTAACCATTTTTACCTGTTTGATCAATAAATTGTGATTGCAAGTGGAGGTGTATTTTGATTTATGTGTAATGTGGCAGTGAGTTTATTTTTGACCCCGTTAAATGGCCGCGTGTGCAAATGGATGAGGACTTCCTCAGAATTTCAAAAATGTTCGATGCAACAAGGTCTGTTGTCCGGGTGCCTAAGCTGGACCCCAAATTCAAGATTGCTGTTATTGCTTCAAAGCAGGTGCTGTTTTTTGTATTTTTTTTTCCAGTGGGTTTGTTTTATACTTTCGGTATTAATCTAAATCTGTGCTTGTCTTGCTGCAGGAGCATTGCCTGATTGATTTGTTACACTCATGGCAGGATGGAAGGCTTCCGGTTGATATAACTTGTGTAATAAGGTGAACTTTTTGGAATGTTAAGACTTTAGGTTTATCTATTTTGTCTAATTATGGTTCTTCATGCATTTCACTACAGTAATCATGATAGAGGCCCAGACACTCATGTGATTCGGTTTCTTGAACGGAATGGCATTCCTTATCATTATTTACACACAACTAAAGAGAATAAAAGAGAAGAGGAGATCCTGGATTTGGTTCAGAATACTGATTTTTTAGTTCTTGCCAGGTACATGCAGGTAAACCTGATGATAAGGTTCAGGAGAGCCTCATCTGTTTTCTTCTTGTGTACCAAACTATTAGAATCTATGTGGTTCATCTGATAGAAGAAATAGGGTTTTCTAGTTTCTTTTTCATCTCTGACATCCTTACGGGAAATCCTGTAATTTTATTTTTGCCTGCTCCTTTTTGTACACACAAACATAAAATTACTTGCAATGTCCAATGATGTATACACAGTAGTTGATATAAATGAGTCAACTGTTTCAACATTTATATTCACAAATTTAAATCTTGAGTGCAGATATTATCTGGTAAATTTCTGCAGAGCTATGGAAAAGATATAATTAACATTCACCATGGTCTTTTGCCATCATTTAAGGGTGGGAATCCGTCAAAGCAGGTTAGTTTTTGTAACCTTATCCTTAGGATATAGAAATTATCACCTATGCAACCATTTCAACTTTTCTCCCTGACTCCCACACATTTTTAATTTGCTAGATATTGTTGGCAGGCTTTTGATGCTGGTGTGAAATTAATCGGTGCTACGAGTCACTTTGTTACTGAAGAACTTGATGCAGGGCCTATCATTGAACAGATGGTAATCACTATCACTTACTAAGCTATGAAGTTTCTTGTCTAAATTATCGTATTTTCTGTTGGTTGTACTTAGTGGTGAATTATTTCTTGGCTCATTGATTTGAGTTTTGTTTCTTTTATTTCACCTTGTACCATCACTTCCTCTGCTATCACATTATTTTTGTTCTTGCCATGTTGCCGAAGTGTTCAGGTAAGTAAACTGTATGACCTTGTAAAATTCTCCGCTGTCATATCTACAAAATGCTGGAACTTCTCAAATGGATTAACAATTTCCAATCAATTACCCATTTTATTGAATAGAGGATTTCTAGATGCTGCTTTTTTCTAAGATTGAAGACTGACGAATGAAAAATCCTAGTGAACAGAGTTCAATACCATGTTGAATTGGTGAAATAAGGAGTCAATTTGTAAGGAAGGGGCCATTTATTCCGGGCCTGAAAGCACAAACTGGTTGGTATAGGAAAGTCAGAATGAAATCTATGAGATGATTGGATCAAGTTGAATTAACTGAAGAAGAATGTAAGCCTTAAAAAATTGCTTAACCACAATGTCTTTCTTTCCTCTTTTTCTCTCTCTCTATTTTTGTATGAGATATTCAGAGATGATTCCTAAAGAATGTAATTGCCGTGATTTATACCTTATATCTCGTGTAGCTGATGTTGTTCATTCAAGGATCTTTGTTATTCTACACGCTTCTCTTTTTGGAAACATTAACTTTGAATTGTTAGAGTTGATTTAGTAGATTTCTGAAGCTATGCTAGTTGGTTTGTGCCTTGCAATAAATTATCTCAAACTGCTGTTTTAATTGATCACTGTTGCAATCTGAAGTTTTAACACCATATGGGCTGTATCACAACATCTATCATACGATGTTGTTGTGATACTGTCTTTATCTACCACGTGTTGCAGGATATGTAACTGGTTTTGCCTAACTTGGTTTATTCAATATCCTTGTTTACGTGTTACAGGTTGAGAGAGTTTCTCATAGGGATAATATCCAGAGTTTTGTGCGGAAATCAGAGAACCTTGAGAAACAATGCCTTGCAAAAGCTATAAAATCATACTGTGAATTGCGTGTTTTGCCTTATGAGGAAAACAAGACTGTTGTATTCTGAGGTGAAGACAAAGGGGAGAGAGCTGTTGACTGTTGTTACAATCTGTATGTTCGTGAGCCATTCATTTTTCCTAATTAAAATATTCCCAGCACAAATGTCGAGATGATGATTATTATTTATATTCCAAACTCAGAAGATATCCTAGTGAAATTTAAGCTAATCTCTTTGGATTTGATTTAGTGAGAGTACCAGACAAAACTTATCTTCTATTGTTGCCGACTTACAGAAGTTCATCTTTAGTTTGCACTTTTGAAGGAATTACTTGAGCTATATACCTGAACTACTCGAAGTGATAGTTTTGAAGTGTTTTGCTCAGGGAACTTGATGAGATTTGAATTTGTGAGTGCATAATTAATAAAATATCATATTAAAACTTAATAGTTTATATTATTAGAAGAGATTTTAAGATATGATTTATATGATTTTTTAATATTTTTCAAGAAAATATTTTTTTCTTTATATTATATGATATAACAATAGAATTCAATCGGAAAAATGGTTAAATGTTGGTTAGGATACACGCCATTTATTTGTGGGTGCTTTAATCGAGAGTGAAATGCATGAATAATTATGTAGCTACAAGGTCTGTTTTATCTAGATTGTTGCTTTTGTAGCATGCTAAATTGAACAAAAGAGTTCTTCCGAGTTCGGGGACTGCATCAGAGAACGGTGTGTGCGTTTCTTACATTACATAGGTAAATTGTACAGAAGGGATTTTCATATGTAATATCACTCGTATACCGTTGTCACTATACTTCATTGAGCAAAACTATCATCTGCTCTATTCTCGGAGCAAATATACAAACATCGATCAAATGCTATGCTAGGCACCATCGTTTATGCTTAAACATTTCAGGGAGCGGTCAGTTTCTTCAACACTGCTGACTTGTCGAAGAAGACCATGTATACCATCAACCCACCTCTGCTTGTGAATTTTGTTCTTGCACTTGAACTCCAGGAGACCTTGTGCTGTTTTAATGCCGAAATAGACTTCCTCAGTACCATTTTCCCTTTCTTTTCTATATGGCCAAGCTGTTGTCTCATCACAGGCTCCGTAAACAACACCTAGTAGCAGCAGAAGACATTCAGGTGTTGAAGGATTTAAAACTGCAAGAATTGTTGCTCAAGTATTTTGAGATTTGCAACTAGAAAAGATTATTTATCCAGTACCACTTTACCTTTTTGCTTCTTGGACAAGGCTCCTCCAACGTGTTTGCTTTTGATCTTAATTAGGACCTGAAAAGATTTGAATCGGTGAACAACGTATTTTATGACCTCAATATAGTGATAAACTATCGCTCCCAACTTTTCTCCAAGTATATACCTGGGATTTCTTGTTGATGTACACGGTGACGTGTTTCCATCGCATCACTCCTGACAATTCCAATAGCAACTCATTTAGCACTAGCATCTAAAATCACTCAACAGCGGTTTCATTGCTTAGTATTTCTTTATCAAGTATTCAAGGAAATTCCAAAAGCAACAGAGAGGGCATGGACATGAACCTTTCTTTGTGTTTTGCAAGAGTTCACCAACACAGGGAGGACCCTGTTCTTCTAAAGGACCATTTGAAGAAGTCCAGTGAGTATCCGCCACCCCCCTATCATAAGGACTTATAGCAGCATTCCTTCTTGCTTCTTTTGGTAATCTTGATTTTAAAGCTGCTTCTCCTCTCAAAGCTGGTTTAGAGGATGGGTCACATTATTTACTAACCAATGTTCCATGATAGGAAATAAAATGAAGACCAGAAAAAGATTGAGCAAATACCTGTTGCCGCCGCGGCAGTAAGGGTCATTAGATCACCTGGACTTTGAATATCTACTGCTGATCTCACAACAGAAGCCACACAATCATGATCAGCTCCGGCTGATTCTGCTAATTCTATGCAATGTGATGCAAGGAGTTCTGCAGCTGAGGCCAAAGCCATGCTCATTTTGGAGCTGGAACCACTGGAATTTCCGGCAGCTGTCATGGCAGCCAATGCCGCAGCTAGTCCGGCTATAGATACAGCAGAATGCATATGTGCATTTTCCGTGCGTGCTTTGTCTTTCTTCTTCACTGCACTGCTACTGAATTCCTTGTGGTGGAACCATTTTCCTATTGATCCTGTCCTTGAACCTCCTTTTGAATTTACCACCTTCCCTGACTGCAAAGGAGTGAAATAATTTGATGACAAGAATAGAATGGATTATGTGCCATAAAAAGAAGCAGCTTTGGTAACTTAATTTCGGATTTGAGAATGTTCTTCTTCATATCAGAAAATAACGAGGACAGGATGTAGAAATTGCAAATAAACTAATAGTAGCTGCGAGTAAGACTCACTGATTGTTGTGCCACAAGTGTCTCTGGAAATGTATCGAGATTCTTTTCAGTGTAAAACTCTTTCTGCTTCTGAGCCAGAGCTTTTGAGATTTCTGAAGCAGAGAGACTCCAGGATCTTGATAAGAACTCCATAGGCTCTCTTGGTGTCTGTGGTTGAGGAATCGCTGGCAATGATGCAGGTTTCAGCTCTTGGTCCTCCTCTAAATATTCTAGCATCGAAGTACTCTTAAAAGCAGAATAAACTCCACTTTCCATTTCTTCAATTTGTATTTCAAGTATTCCAATCAAATTGTAAACCTTCGCTTCCTTGAGCTATTTCTTGTTTAGGCCAGTGATCCCTCTCACTAAAACCTCAATGACTGGTGTTCCCTGCCATATCAGTCAAAGATACCTCTGAGAAGAAGTAGAAGATGCGAAAAATACTAGCCTTGCAAGCTTAGAAAACAAGATACAACTGCCTTCGGAACAAGTTTGTTATATATATATATATAGCATGTAGCTACAAAAAGGTCAATAAACTTGCAAATATAGGGGACAAATTAGATTACAAAAGCATTCTTCAAAATCTAGTGCTTCGAAACCTCATGAAAATAAGGTTGGGTTTCGTTGAAGGGATCAAAAAGACAGAATTCACCAAACTCGATAACTAGTATAATTCTAAACTTAAGGGACACAGATAGAACATCATCCTTAACAAGCGGGGATTGTTCCTTAAGCACTCATGCAAGAACGCGCAGGATTCTATAAGGAGACAAAGGATTATGTGTTAAACTCTTGTACTTTTTGGAGGTTATGAGTGTATTAAATATCGAGTGTATTTCCCTATGAGATCTAGTAAGAGCGCATCATGGATGATTCACCTGCAAGTATTTCGAAAGTACGTGCAAAGCCCGGCCACTTCATGAATATTGGCTAGACGGTGGGGACAGTTTAGGATTCTTTCTCTTCCATTTCAACAGCCTTGCTTGAAGCAGGACGGTCAAGGTTGGTATCGTTATCTATCAGCTTTTAAATTTATTCCTTTGAGCAATTTCTCTTCCATTTCAACAGCCTTGCTTGAAGCAGGTCAAGGTTGGTATCGTTATCTCTCAGCTTTTAAATTTATTCCTTTGAGCAACTACGGGGCTCAATATATTTGTTTGATATGTTTTAATCAAGTGGTGTATTTCAGAGTGCAGTAGCAGTTGATTTTTAAAATATTTTTTTATTTAGTCAAGGTTGGTATCGTTATCTCTCAGCTTTTAAATTTATTCCTTTGAGCAACTACGGGGCTCAATATATTTGTTTGATATATTTTAATTAATATTTGAAAGTGTGATATAGTTATTCTTTAAAATATTTTTTTATTTAAAAATATATTAAGATAATAAATTTTTTTATTTTTAAAAAATTATTTATGACATTAACATATTAAAATCATTTAAAAATATCAAAAAATATTAATTTATTACTTTAAAATAAAATTTTAATATTTTTAAAATATAAAAGAAAATAGACTCTAAGCGGAGTGAGGTGGGAGCAAGATCAATAAATCTCGGGCTAAACGTCAAGGATAGTCTTTATTTCAATTTTACATTTTACTATATTCATGGTTTGATCCCATTATCCATGCATGTGATATTAATTATTAGTATGCGAGCAGATATTATTTGTTCATGATTGCTCATAACCATATAATCTATCTTCTTTCATAGAGAAATCAGCATGCCATATGGTCAAAATGGGCGGTTGTTTCATGTGTACGAGGATGCATCTAAATAACATGCTAGTTAGTCAGTCACTATCGCTACACCTAATTGAGTACACAACACAGAGAGTCCTATAATTGGCCTTCTCTAATCTGTGGTTGCGTGGACACACCGACACAAATGCCAATTTTCACGTTTCAATATGTAGGGCTTGTTCCATGGGAAACTTCATGCTTGCAATGGACACAAACAGAGCTTCACTTGCCACCTTCATCACCAAGGGCCAGCCAAAGATTCTGGCTTCACTCAAATTTCAAATTGTGGGATGAGAAAGCAAAGATCATGAAAGTGTTCAGCCTTTTCCTTGTCTTCAAGAGCTGATAGAGGGGCCCCGTGTCTGCATTATACACATGAACGAGATGGCCCTTCTTGATAAATGATTTGACCAAGCCAGTCTGTACACGGTTTTATGCCTATAATCATCGCACTCAACACTGGGAGAGTATGGGACTTGCGTCGAGTCATAATTGCAATCTGCTTTAACCCTTTATATATATAAAACTACAGATGCTCCATGAACCAATTCTTACTCCACGCATGGAATATAGATATGTTAATCAACTTTAAACTTTTATGTTTGTGTCTTATCATTTTCACCCTTTTTGTTTTTGTTGAAATGTCTTTGTTATGGGCCTTTGCTATCACAGTGCCAGGAAATAGCATTTAAAAAGAATGTGCTTAACGATTTTGAATTTTAGCTTAATTTGTTGGAAACAGTGTTCTTCGCCGACTTGAAGTCCCTACTGCCTTTTGGGACTGCTGGTGGAATAAGCTCCGAGAAATTGCAAAGAGGTATCAATCGATGACATATAGTATTAAAACAGATGCAATTTAAAGTATATGTTGTAGTTCTGATATATACATTGCTTATCTATCAATATGATTAAATATTAATCATTAAAGTTTTGATATTTATTAAAATATCTAAAACATTTGTTGTCATTTATATACATATATAAAAGAAAAAATTAAAATTAAAATATTGATATCAAGATGGAAAAATACCAGAAACTTTTTAATTAAATACATTGAATCATGATTTTTTTTAATACAAGTTTATTGTAAATTATTTATATTTAAATAAATTGAAAGCTTATATCATAGCTTTAGCTTAAGATACATATGAAATATTTTTTTAGTAAGATATAAAGGGAGAAAAATCAAGAAGACCATCTCTTATACTTGATCAACCCACATCAACATTCTTCATGAATTTATAGAAGTTCAATTATATATGCACAATTGTTTGATCCCATGTTATTTTTTAATTAATTTTTTTTCTCAATAAAACTACTACAATGAAGTGACACAAAAGTATTTCTTTAAGAAATAAATAAGAAATTAAATTCGATACACATCAAGAAAATAATATGTAAAGGGAGGTGATTGTAGGCTAATATAATGAAAGGCACCAACCAATTATACAAATATTGTGATTGTTATCTTTCCGTTTCTCCTTCACTCCGACTAAGAAATCCACATATGACTACTTTTCTAGGCTATTATAGGAGACCAAGCTGAGCTGCTCCACCTGTGTAATGCAAAGCAGAAATCAACCAAAAATTCAACAGGGAATCAAATTTTCAGATAAAAGGAAAGAGTCGTCGTCAAGAAAATGAAAAGATTGAAAGCTGCTAGTGTTATCCCCTCCACATGGGGTGGAACCTGGATCAAATAAAGTTAGACGACAATCACTAATCAAAGAACATTGCCTGACAGCCACGCTTCATGCCATTTAGCAAAAATCTACAGAATCTCACTTTTTACAGTGGAACTGAGAACATTCATGTGCTAGTCACATAAACTTTCGTTAATTTTTTAAAAAAAATTAGGGAATGAAGCAAAAATCTTGGACGTTGGTCCATGAATCTTATTAAGTTTTTTTTTTATTGTCTACTGTAGGCATTGGTAATTAATTTTTTTTATGTTTTTTTTGGACATTTTCTGTCATATGCTTTGATGATATGCACAGCAGAAAGTCTGAGGAAGAGTCTCTTTTCTTTTCTTTTTTTCTTCTACAAACTCATTCCCTAGGTTTAAAGCCCAAGTTTCCAGCAAGCTTCTATTATTTTTTCTAACGAATCCCTTCGTCGGGCCAAGTGCTCCAAGTACCTTAGCAGCTCTACCCTTAAAAGGACACTATCTATCTTCTTCTTTTTTTAATTTCCACCCTTGCTTTCGGAATCATCTCCTCGGCAGATAGCCTATGCTTCTTTCTAGTAAGAAAAAGAGTAAGAGTCCAAGTATGATTGACTTTTAGAGTGACCAATTTAAATTACATTGCTTCCTCCCGCTTTGCTATAAGAGGGAGGCTCAGTATTCGGAATGATAGTGGTAATATAGGAGCGGTGTTACAGTACGTAGTAAACATATGGTGTGTTACAAGGTAATAGATTTTGTAAGCCTTTTGACCATTTGGATAACTAAGAAAAAACAATGTTTGCTGGAGAAGCAAATTTACGAGGAATATGCACATTAGTAGCGTATGCAAGATACCTTAAAACTCTTAGTCGAGAATAAGAAAAGTCATACCATGAAGTCATTCAAAAATAGTTTGGCAGGAAAGAAGCGGTATGGGTTAATGATTAATTATATGGATGACTGTGGAAACACATTTTGCCTAGAAAAGTTAGAAAAGTTAAAAGGAGATGGGCATGAAAAGAATATTAACATATTTACGATAGTGAAGGGGTATAAATGTTAAAGAATAATATAAATTATATTTTGGAATCTCATCTAATAGCTTAAGTTTTTAGGTGAGATGATTTTTTTCATGGTATCAGAGCCTTGATGACCAAATGGTTTCAAGTTCGAATCTCACCATCCCTATTTATTTGATAAAAATTAAGCACAAGATAATGTGAGTTTGTGCAAGTCTCAAGTCTAAAGAGCTTTTACTTGAGAGGATGTGTTAAAGAATAATATAAATCATATCCTAAGACCTCACCTAATAGCTTAAGCTTTTAGGTGAGATGGTTTTTTGACAATAAACACAAGAATGTTGGTAAGAGGTGCTTGTTTTTTTATATAATTCTCACATAGAAAAAAATTATTTACCATTATCAACCAGAATGTATATAAAATTAAACTAATGAAAAATAGAAGTTAACTTTGTTTTCCAAGCGGATAAACATCACAAGCATTATTGGACTTAAAAGAAGAAATTATATATTTCTTGCCATAAAATATAATCTAAAGGAAGATAAATGCTATAATTGAGATGCCACAAGTTAATAAGGGACATGGCTTGAGAATAGAATGATCTGCTAGCAATGGTTCTTGCAAGTCAGGTTTTATATTTTGGTTTTTCTTATGTGAATGCAATTAAGTAATAAAATCTGTCTTGTTGTTCACCAAAACAAATCATCATCTTCGTTGTTATGTCTTGCAAATTACATCTAGGGAAAAAAAGGTCAAGAATAATTGAGTTATCTTGTAAGGCGACTTGTATACATTAAATTTGCTTTAAATAATGGGACACCTATCATATTTTTTAATGAAATAACAAAATTCAAGGGTAAATACTAGTAGATGTAATTGGAGCTTGTTCTCTACTTGGTATGAAAAGTGGTGGTAAATATGTGTTCTTTATACGACTGATTATAATTTGAAGATAAGTAATATGATTTGTTCCACCACTATCAATAATTAACTGATGAAGACACCTACAATGTTTGTGATAAACTTGAAGAAGCACTGATACCATTAGCCTTAGAGTTAGCAAGTTGTGTTTCTTTATTGTTGTGCATGATAAATAATATTTGCTGGATTTGAAAATCTGAGAGCTCATTTATCACTTACCATATTTCTTGCATCATTGAATCCTTTTTGTTATTGTTGACTAGAGACTGATGACTATTGTTGTGCTTAGAATGAGTACCTCTTTTCTTAGACCTATTTGATGCATGTTTTGGGTACTTTAACGAATACCCTTTCAATTTCCAGCATGTGTCTCACACATGATGGTCTTGATCACAGTAAGAACAATGCAAAGGTTTTCGATTGGATGAGCAAGAATGAGAAGATGAACTTTATTGATGTCAAATAGCTAGGCCTATACATTCATCCCTTCGAATGGTTATTGATAGGATCTTTGCTACCTCATGTGCAGCATCCAAGCTTCGCTGCTTCCTTTCTTGTACAATGGAAGAGCAAGCCTTTACAACATTAGGTGATGTGTTCATCAATATGATTAGATCTCGGATTGCATTGTATGTCTTATTGAGTTAATTCCATGAGAAATTTCATCAATATGTCTTTTATGGTCAACCCTACTAGAGCAAATCAACAATGCCATTATATGAGCCTAGTCCATCCTATAATTTTGTAAATTTTATATAGTATATTATAATTGTCATATGATCTTGATCAAGATAAGCAATATCTTTTTAATCTGAAAAATATAAGGAACATTATTTTCAAAAAAAATGATCTTGAATATCTTTTCATTCCTCTTGGGCAGTGGTACCACAAATAACAATGGTACCATTGAAGGGCTTGGAAATAAGCATCATTATAGGATGGTCAGGATGGAGGGAATATGGATTGGTCGCATCGAGCTTGTCTCCATTTAAAGATTGCTTGTTTGCTATCATAATGTGAAACAATGATAAAATGAGATAAAAAAACAAAAATGACCAAGGTTAAAAAAAAAAATAGCTAAAAAGATACCATTAAAGGGCTTGGAAACAAGCATCATTATAGAATGGTCAAGATGGAGGGAATATGGATTGGTGGCATTGAGCTTGTCTCCATTTAAAGATTGGTTGTTTGCTATCATAATGTGAAAGAAATAAGAAACAAAAATGGCCAAGATTAAAATAAAATAAAAAAAAAGCAGCAAAAAGCTAGGGTATTATCCAAAGCATGAAGAGGAAAGAAAAATGTTTTGCCTCCAATGATTTTATTAAATAAAATTGATGTTTATTTATACCAAATTATTTAGGTTATATTAAATCAACTATCACTTATTTTAATTTTAAATCTACCCTAAACTAGGGGTCAACAAATCATCATATTGGCTTGCGAGCTAGTTCAAGTCAAAGTTTAATAACATTATTAAAAAAAAAATTATGTAAAATATAAACCTTCAATGGACGGCCAGACATTGTCTAACATGCAAAACATGGTTATTTTCATTTGTTTTGGATTGTTCTTCATTCGTGAAATACAGATTCCAGACAGTTTGTCCTAAACTATTGGGTTCGGTTGGTTTACATACAAGAAATAATGGAGGATTGTGACTCGTGAGTTCCTATCCAAGCTAGCAAACAGCTGACAGGCGAAATTATGTTGCTGTAATTACTCTCACATCTCCATGTATGGACCATTATAGATGCAACGAATGATGGTCCTGGGAAATTTATCAAATTTATATGTGAAGAAAATATATAATTATCAATTAAAAACAAATATAATCTCATATTATAAAGAGTTAGTTACTCATGTGCGAGACTCGGAGACGTGGCATCAACATTGACAGGCAGTCTTATCCAATCAGAGTAAAATCCACAAAAGAAATTTTCTTATTAAACAGGTTTTAACTGGTCATTAACAAAGAACAGGCTCAAACCTACACAGAAAGCAAGAAAGCAAATCACCATCCACAAGCCTATGCGACTGTTTAGGCGTAGTCTGCAGAAACTGGGGCAGCTGCATAAGACCCAATGAAAACACAGCCGTAAACAAGCCCAGCCAATCCACCTCCAACTAGTGGCCCCAGCCAGTAGATCCAGTTCTGTGAGAAGTCACCGCTAACCACAGCTGGGCCAAATGAGCGAGCTGGGTTCATTGAACCACCACTGAATGGACCAGCAGCAAGAATGTTAGCACCAACAATGAACCCTATAGCAATGGGTGCTATAATTCCAAGGGAGCCCTTTTTGGGGTCTGCGGCTGTGGCATAGACAGTATAGACAAGTGCAAAGGTTATGACAATCTCCATCACCACTCCTTCAATAGCACTCATCCCTGAAGCAACTCCATGGGTTGGGATGCCCTATGAAGTCCAGTAAAACAATTTTGAGCTTTGATACAATCAAAGATGATTAACTGGAGATTTATTAGAATTGCATGGTTAACAGATGAACAGTTCAAAATACTGGTAAACGCAGATGGATTTCCTTGCATAAAGGGATATATATATCCATCAGCTGTGGCAGGGACTTTAAGTGGAGAAATGATTTAGTTTTCTCTTTGATAATTTAAATCATTAGTTCAGGACTTCTCTCTTGCTTTGCGTAAATGATAAAACGATCTGCCTTAATTATTGGATAAGCAGTGATTAGTCAAGCGGGAAATTAACTAATCCACTCGAATAGTACTAAAAACAGAAGCAGCTGAAATATTTGAAATCTTACCACCACAGTTTCGCCAACTAAGATCTTACCAACTTATTCTGTCATACCGATGCTAATTTCCCAAGTAACATCGCTTGTCAACTGAAAATATTTCCTTAGCAATGAAGGGGATTTTTACTGGTAATTTATTTATTCTCTTAGGGTTCAAGGTTTCAAATGGTTACCAGTAATTAACTAAAAACTAAGGTCAAAATCTTTTTTTCTTTTTTAATGCATATGGCTTTTCAGGATGCATGTTATATAATTTTGGTGTTTTACCTCGGCGCTAGTAACGACTTTGAGGAGGAGGCATGCGACGACGGAGCCGAGGCATTGAGCAATCCAGTATAAAAGGCCAGTAAGGAAGGTGATGTTGCCTCCAATGGCCAGTCCGAAGGTGACAGCCGGATTTAAATGGCCACCTGAAATGTTTGCTGCTATGGAGACTCCCACAAAAAGTGCAAATGCGTGAGCCACTGCCACCGCAACAAGGCCAGGTGGGTCTAAGGCCGCATCTGTTGTGAGCTTACCTATACCATACCGAAGCAAAATTTACACCACAGTTTCGACTGCATGTTTTTAATCACGTGCTTAGCAGGAGGGCTGTTTTGTTAGTAAACTTTGTATATTTTCCCCATCATGGCACGTATTTACTTTAGAGTTAATTATAATTTAGTCCCTATAGTTTATTAAAATAAATTAATTCATCTATGTAGTATAAAAATAATCAAATAATCTTTTGATTTGTGTCGACAATACTTAATTTAACAGTATTTTTTTTTACCGTTGATCTATTTCTTAAAATAAAAATAAAAAAGAGAATGAAATGAACAAAAAGAATTGCATTAAAAATGAAAATTATAAAAATACAGGGATTAAATAATAATCTCTGAAATGAGATAGTTAATTATTTTTCCTAAACTACGCAGGCTTATAATTACCTAGTTACCTAATATATTTCAAAATACCAATTTCTGAAGAGGGTTTTTTTCTTTTCTTTTTTAAATTTATGTAGACATAATCATGTAAAACTGGTGATGGGCTCAGTACTTACTGTAAGCGATAGCCGATCCAACACCAGCAAATACAAAAAGAAGAGTGGCGATGAACTCAGATAGATAAGCCTTGAGGGAGGCTAAGCTGAAAGAGTCACCAGGACTGCCAAAAGCTATCTTCGCCATTCTTTCTTGTTTCACTAGTTATTAGACTAATTAAACTTAATTATTAGAACTATCAATATAGCTCGTTCGCTAGCTCGCTCGAGTTCTTGTGTGTGTTTCTGTATGGGCTGCAATGCACTGGTCTCATGGGCGTGGTTTAAATACACGCTACGACTGGTGATTTTCTATGCTAATTTTGTAATAAGCTAGCATCATAGCCGGCGCCGACCGTGGGACCCATATGGATGGAAGAGCCCTAAATGAACGGAAGCCGACCAACCGCCTTTTATTTGATTAGTAATAACTAATATGTCATCACTAATTATGAGCACAAGACAACTAATTAACTTGTTATTTATGTGTGTGTGTGTGTGTGTTAAGAAAGGAAACAAAAAGCATGTTTTGATGGGATATCAATTCAGCACCAAAGTAATTAAGCTCTAATTAATATGGTAATGATCGATGTCCTCGTGTCATTTTCCCCGTATCAAATGATAAAAATTAGGGCGTTTTATCTCATATATATATATATATATATATATATATATATATATATATAATTAGCTTTGTTCAAAGAGTTGGTGTGTTTGGTACATGGTTGATAATTCCATCATGATTGTGATGGGTGACTATTTCTAGAGCTAGCAATGTCATCCAAGTTAATGAGTTGTTTAGTATAATTTCTAGAGTTAACTCTATTTTTATATAATATGAGTCTTTGTTAGAACTATCAATACTATATTGAATAAATAAAAAATATAAGGGTAAAATATAAAATTGAGAATGGATCACACATATGACTTTAAATTTATTGGATGGAACTCATATTTAATTATCAAATTCAATATGGCAGGAGAGTCCTAATGATAAAGCCATAATGATGACTTATTACTACTTCTACTTAATTTTACTATTTTAGTAACTAAGAATGAGTGTATATATTCAAATTCAAATTCTAGACCACTTTGTTATTAAAATTATTATATCATATTAATTAAATTTGATAATTAAGTTTAAGTTTTATTTAAAAAATAAAATATTATAGCACGTGACTTATTTTAATTTTATATATTAATTTTATATTAGTTATTTATTAATAAAATCTATAAAACACATAAGTTTCTCTATAACACAGAATTTCCAACAACATCTAGCCAAGCCTTGCTTTCACTGAGGCCACAAAAATTGTCTAGACACAGGGCGTTTTCTCTATTTTCGATATTAAAATAATCTACAACTTTGATAAAATCAGGCTTCGAATCCCTACAGTTTTCTAGGTATTAACTTTGTAGGGTGTTGGATATTTTATTAAATTTTATTTATCTAGCTTTAGAATGTAATAAAAATTATTTTTAAAAAAAATGCTCGTAAATATATTAATAATATTTTTATTTTTTAAGATGTATTTTTAAAGTTATCATGTTTTTTATCCAAAAACATTAAAAAATAGTGAAAAAAATAAAAAAATAAATTTAACAAAAAAATCAAGTTAAATCTTGATTAATACGATGTTGATCAATGGTATGGACCATCTGGTTGTGTAGAAATTGTTGGTGGCTTTTCACTAGACAATACAAGCAATGGTATCCACGTAAGCAATGAGGAAAAAATAAAATTATGAATGGGAGACAAGATTAAAACAAATGAGACGGGTGAATAAAGGAAAGAGGAAACATGTGGCATTTTCAAAAAGGGATAAAATGTAAACTTTGGCCCTCTTATTTTTAAAATGATAACTTTTTAGTCCTCTTATTTCAAAAACTCAATTATGGAAAAAAAACTTAATTTTTTTTTTGTTTTTCAATTTCTAATTTAAGGTAGGAAGGAGAAAATCACTTAATTCTAATGGTAGAAAAAATATCACTTGACAATAATTCCAGCCATTAAAATAATTAATTTAGTGTTTATAAGTTTTATTTGCTGGGAAGAGTTCCAATAAGATATTCTTTCACCTTTAATTTTCTTGGAAAAATAGATTTGACCTTATAAAATTTTTTAATTTCAAGTTGAATTTTTGTTTGTTTATCATTTCTAGATTATTTAAAAATATAAATAAGTTTATTTAAATTTTCAGGAGGTTTTTCAGGTGTCTAGATTCAAAATATGGTTTAAATAGATTTTTATGGTGTTTAATTCGAGTTTCTGACAATCAAAATATAAACAAAGCAGGTGACAAGTTGTCTATTTTTTTTTTTAAAAAGAGGTAAATAACAAAAAATAATTATAAAAAAAAAGAGGTAAATAACAAAAAATAATTAATAACCCTAAGCGTGTGGGTTACAAATCGAGTTTTATAATTTGTTTTAATTATATAAAAAAATAATTTATTTAATTAAATAAATATGTTAACTCTTCAATTGCAAGATTTTTTCATAAAAAAATATTGGCATATTCATTTTTTTGTGCTGTAAAAAAACATTATCCACAAGAGCGAATCACAGGTTAGATGGCTTGTTCGTACAACGAATTGATGGGCATAAGAGAATCTCATGGTTTGTTTTGATTTATAGCCGTCTGACAGATAAACTTTTGAGAACCACTCAAGATAATTAATGGTGATAATGCACAATTTTCAAGGCATCAATCCTTCAATATATAATGAGAAAGACCAGCATCAAGAACAGATCGGGTTTTCGTCGGCAATTATTTATTGATCATGATGTGGACGAGTTTCATCATACGTGTATATGTGAAGCAACAGGGTTTGAGGATAGCATTAAAATAAATCGTGGTTGGTATTTGAGGTTCCACCAATAGAAGAAAAGAGAAGTTCAACAAAGCACCTCCGCAGCTTTGAAGCAGTATTTGCGTGGCTGGTGTGTAGCCGTCGCATCACCATTTGCCATACTGCTTTCTGCGACGTGTAAGCGTTCAATGGAAGTTCTGTTCATGCATACAGCTTAAACAAATTCCCAGTTCTTATTCAACTTTTTCGAGAACCAAATTTGCTGCTGAGCTTTAGCCTGTTTTCTCTTCTAAAAAGCAGCCTGTTCTGTTGCCTTTCAGGGCTGGATGATCAACTCACTACATGTTTGCTAGGAGGCTAGAAAGGATTTTATATATATATGTTTCTGCTCATGCTTGATTTATTTTGTTAGAGGAGAGAAAGATTTAGAGGAAGAAGGTTAAAATATTGTTAGCCTGTGTGTTTGGGGGAGTAAATAGTAAATAGGTTAAAATACCTAATTAAAATTTGACTTGTTTAATTGAAACCCATGAATTATTAGAGGATTATAGAAAAAATAATGTGAATTTCATGCTATTACTTAATATTTTTTTGCTGCTTGAAAGCGAATGAAGTATCTGATTGTGAATTCATTGATAAGTCGAGGACACATAATAAAGAAGAAAATCAGGTTAGAAACCTAGACGTCGAGACTGCCCTTAAAGACTTGAGACTTTTATAGTTTAGTTTAGATATCCATTTATATATTCGAAGAATATATACATCCAGCAAAACCTCTTCGGGAAAAATTTAAAACATCAGAGAAGAAATGGGCCGGAATAAATAATTTTTCTTGGACTATATTCAAGACAAATTAAGTTAATAAAAAATAATATTTTGTAACTCAATAAATTATTTTACAGTAAATCCAAACATAGACTTAAGCCCAGCCAAGCCACCATGCTATAGCATGTGAGGGTTTAATTAAGCCTAAAACTCATTTTGTTTAAGTCTTCTTCATTCTAAAAACCTAGATGTTCTTTGTGTCCAATTCTACTTTTCATATTCCCATTAAATAAACCTAGGGCTCCTTTTTAAAAGCTTTGCCTGTTTTTTTTTAATCCATTGGATGTAGATTATTTGTCTAGATATACGACTTGTCTTAGACTAGTTCAAGCTCCGGCCATCTCTCATGGTCAAACAATCAAGTTCCAACATATTTAAACCCCAAAAACTCTATTTGTCATCCATTTTCACCTAAAAATCAGGGTCCAAGTTAACCCTTATCATAAATCGTAAAAAATCCCCAGATTAATCCATAAAATTAACACTTATTTTGTGGTTAAAATTATTTTTTAAATTGTTTTTCAAAGTATTTTTTATTTGATGAATTTTTTTAGATTTTTTTATAATTTTGATGTAATAATATTAAAAATAAAAATATTTTAATATATTTTTAATTAAAAAGATACTCTTAATAACCAGTATATCCGCATTACCGACCATTTAGCTATTCAAAAAGCCAATGTGTTTCTATCACATGCCACCCAACAACACATTTGAATTGCTTTAATTAGTTGTTTAAAATCCCGAAAACCCACGAAATATAAAAAGCCAAACCAATAATTTTTTTTTTAAAAAAAAAGGGATAAATTTTTGGTTTGGAGAAAACCAAAAACTATGAAACGGCCATTGATTTTTCTTGCTGGAATAGGATGCACATGGCTGAGCAATGATACTCCTCACACACCCATTAAAGAGCCTGCAGAAACAAATTATATAAAACACCACCAGCTTGTTAAGGCCCCGAATCAAAAAGTCCTTATCTTCACGCTTTTCAAATTTCAATCAAAACCAGAGCATTTACGCAATGATAGCCATTGTAAACCACATGATATTATTGAGAGTCCAAAGCAATGCACTCATCATCATTATCTTCATGGCCCCTTTCAAAACCCTAAATTTGGACTATTTTGGATAACAAATGGACTGTAATGTGGCATTTGGTATGAAGGTGAAAAAAAAAAAAGAGGAGTGAATTGTTGCAGAAATAATTATTTCAAGAGCAAGACCAAGTTTAAAGGGTATAAAAATTGATGTTCAAGAATGTTTGGTGTATTATAAATTAAAGGGTTAAATGTTAATGAAAATAAAAAGAAAATAATTTAACTATTAGTAATGATTAATGATTAAAAAAATAATTAAATTGTCTTGTATTTAAAGGAAAATAAAAGTGATCAGAAAGACAAAAAAGTAAAAAATAAAAATTTACTTGGTGCATGGTGGGTAAAATTTACCATTCAGTACAATGTCTCTACTAATTATTAATCCTCCGAACAAAACTTGTTTAACTTATATAAGTATAAAATTAACCTCTATTGTCTAACATAGTTTTTAGTTATTATAATGGGATAAAAAGAACAAAAATAGTAAAGATAAAAATACATTTGATTAAAAAAATAGAGATATAAAAATAAATTTATCTCCAGGATAATTTTAAAATGAATCTTTGTACTTTCAAAATTGGAGATAAAAAAACATATTTTTAGAAATAATATTTATATTTTTTATTCTTAAAATATTTCTATAAGAAACTCTCAATTTCAAAAATGTTCAATCAAGACATGTAAAAATAAAAATAATTATGATTATAGTTTTAAAACTCAATTCGGGAATTGATCTTAGACAAAGCTCGGGTCACTAGTCGACTTAAAACTCAATTCAAGAGTCGATCTTAGGCAAAGCCCAGGTCACTAGTTGAGGCCCAAGTAGCGGGTTGGATTTACTTGGGTCAGCGTAATAATAAAAGTAATTATCATCGTAGTTTTAAAACTCGATTCGAGTCAGGGTAACGTGTCAAGAAAGTTGACCCCGAAGCAAAGTCTGGTGTAAAAAACGTCAGCATAAAAAGGTGGTTATTATCATAACTTTAAAACTCGATTTAGGGATCAACCCAGGTCATGAATTAAAATGATTGATTTTCAATATAAGAATAAAAGTTATTATTATAATAATTTTAAAACTTGACTCGAGAGTTGACCGAGGCAAGGCCAAGGTCACAAATCAAGAGGGTTAACATGGTTTAAATCGAATTAACTTGTGGATAAAAATAGTTAATATTATAGTTCTAACATCCAACTTGGGAGTCAAGTTGAGGCAAAATTTAGGTCACATGTCAAGAAGGTCAACCCGATTGACCTAAAAAATTAAAAATAATCAAAGCAACCTTGTTTTGATAAAAAAAAAAAAAGTTTCAAAAAAGCCAAGGGTTTTCTTACACATGTTTTATCTCGGATTGAATTGAGTTTTTGACCGGGTCGGGTCAACTCAATCCTTTTTCTATTTTTTCCTTAAACTCGGACTAGTCTAGGCTCGGTTGATGGATTTGCATTATGAGCAACAACCACCATTATTTTGCAGTATGGATTTGCATTGATTCCTTTCTTTTTTTTTCTTTTTCATTCCTTTATTTTTTTTCTTTTTATTTAATCTTTTAACATTGCATTTATTTGAGATTGATCTTGATGATTTGTTTTCTATGTTTGTGCATGTGGATCGCACAATCAGATAAATATCTTGTCTCTCAGTTAATGTTTAATTTTGCAAAATAAGATTATAGCTTCATGAACTGAATTTGAGCCTTATAAAAATATTTGGTCCCCTTTTTTTCTAATATGAAGGAATAATTTGCAAGGTCAGTGGAAGAGTTTATGTTTTTTTTTAGACAATCAACTTTTTTAAAAAGGTAATCCATTCACATTTATTTTTTTAATTTGACTTTTGATTTTTTTTGGTTGCCTAGAATTGGAGTTTTTACAATGTCAAGGAAAAATTTTGGGACTTGGTTGATGCTTAGTTTTGCAAAATAGTTTAAAAATTTGCTGACTTAGAACAATTAATTGTCAAGGGACAAAAATTAAAATGAAAATGAAATGGGAATAAGGGTAAATGGTCATGATAAATAGACTTACACATGCAACTCACAGGCTAGCTTTTGGGAAGCGTTTGTCAAGTTTAAGCAGCACATGAGGTGTTACTCTACTGTAAAACATCAGCTTCCTTAACAGCTTTAGAAGCATCTCACTATGAGCTTCCTGGCGATAAAGATCATATTAAAGGAGGCGTGATTGTTGGACTTTGATGATTTTTTTTTATTCTCCTCTTTTTTGTTCTCTCTCTTTCTGAGAAAAAATAATTTTTTTCACTTTTACCCTTAAATATTAAGTTTTTTTCTATAATTGAGTTTTATAATTTTATTTAATTTAATTTGCTTTGTTCATGTTTATCTTAGAGTTACGACCAGGTTATAGATTTAACATGCTAACTTAAGTGGATCTAAATCGATTTTTTCTTACTTTTTTTCAACATTAGATTTGTTATGGATCAAACTTTGAATTTTTTTTCATTGTACTTTCTATAAGGTTTCTTTGTTATGGAATAATATCATTAAGATCTTCTTGGAATATTGGGAGGATAAGAACAAAATATATATATATACTTAACAACCATAATTAACTTTCAAAATAAATAAAATAAAATATATAAAATAAAACTTTCTATTTTAGTCTTTAATTAGTATTCATAACTCCTTTCATGATTAATTATTTTATATATTTTTCAATTATTTTATTAAACTCGAATATTAATTTTATATTTTTTAATTAAAAAAGATTATAACATTGAAAAACACATCCATGATAATAGCTTTGTTTTTTATATCATAAATGCACTTAGAATTTTACTAGCCGGTTCCCATTAATAACCTCCTACGGCACAAGGCCAGAACAATCCTCCATCCCTAGTCAAGTCACATCCCTGAAGGATTCGTACTTACTATATCCATCATAATAAATTAGGTCATCCCGAATGACTTTTTGTTTATTTGATTTGACATGTACATTTTGGTGTGATCATTTCATAATGATTTGAGGAGAGGCACATTCGCTGCTCCCTCCATACGCAATGATCATTGGAATGTGAAGATGAGCTTTTAATGATGAGTGGTTCTGCATCTTGTTAGATTGTGCGCAGTCTCCATGATTGGCTTCCCCCCGATTCATGCATTTTTTGGTACATCACATGTAAGAACTCTTGGACTATATGCGATTTCCATAAATTAACACCATTAAAATACTTTGATTGAAGAATAATAGTTAACATGGGATCTGAGAGAACATGCTGACCATTTTTATTTTATTTTTTTCCCATTTTCTTATTGCTGTATTCTTCTATTATCCATCCTATCGCTTGAATTCAGTGTCTGGTTTTTGGACGTGGCTATTTGACAGAATAAACTCAAGAATTTCCCTTCATTTTTACCCTCTCCAGGTTTCGATTTGATGGTGTGATTAATTTTCACTAATATTGATATAATTGCTGTCAATTGCCGCCATCAAGTTATAGTTTACACCTGGGAGGTAAAATACATATGTAGGGTTCTTTTCTTTTCTTTTCTTGGACTGCATATGTAAGGACCTGTTTGAATTTGTGAAGGTTATAGTAATTGATTCTATCAAGGTTTTTCTTTTTTGTTTATAGATTGAATTACCGCAAACAAACAAGACGCAATTAACAATACAACAATGTAGCATTAAATTTAAATTTGTACATATTTCACTTTGAACTTTGTAGTAGTTGGATCTTATTTCTATAGAATTTAAAGGAGTCTTTTATATAGTTAATGTGGTATCCCTCATAATATACAAATTTTTCGAATAATTATTAACTTAGGAGGTAATAATTTTTTTAAAAAAATCTGGAGGGTAATTAATGTTTATTGAGGAGCCAGAAAGATTTTTATGAAATTATAAGGGGGCTTATATGGTAGAGGAGGACATTTGAGGAAAAACTGAAGATAGTGCTGGTAAATTCAGTGAAGGAGAATGGGCATGCTGTCCTATATAAACCGCTGGCTGCAAAAAGATGCTGGAAGACAACATCGACCAACACAAGTCATCAAGAGAGAAAAGGAATTCCATATATCTACCCTCTCACGTAATCTCTCTAGTTCCTTAATTTCCTCAATCACCTTCAAATTTTCTTTTTAAATCCTTGGCAGCATGAATCCATCTTCGTCGAAAAGCAAAAGGAAGCAACCGCAACAAGTACAGCAGGAACCGGGAACTGGATTAAGGTTTCTTGGTGTTAGGAGAAGGCCATGGGGAAGATATGCAGCAGAGATAAGAGACCCATCAACAAAAGAAAGGCATTGGCTAGGCACCTTTGACACTGCTGAGGAAGCTGCCTTGGCCTATGACAGAGCCGCTCGCTCCATGCGTGGTTCTCGTGCTCGCACAAACTTTGTTTACTCTGATATGCCTGCTGGTTCATCCGTTACTTCCATTATCTCCCCTGATGACCAGCAATCTCTACAGCAGCAGCAATTCCAGCAAAATAGCGACCATAATAACAACCTGTCCTCGTTATTCTTCAATGCCCGGCCTCCCTCTCATGATCTTCAGCCGGACTCGACTCCCATTTTCAACCAGGATTTTAACTCTCAATGCCATTTGTCAGACGGGTTTTCTTCAATGACTTCTGGTGGAGATTTTTGGTGCTGCTCCAGCACCAGAACTGAAAATCAACAGCCACAACATGTTAATGATTACAATGTGCTTCCTCATGAGTTTCCTTCTCATATATCTCACGACTCGGGTTATAGTATGGGTCAGTGTGGTTCGACCGATTCATCATCTTCAAGGCTGATGGGTTTTGAGGACCAGACAGCAATGATTACTGGATTTGACTCAGTGGGGGGTGGTAGTGGTTCTTATTTTGGGTTTGATTCTGGCGAATACGTTCACAGTCCACTTTTTAGCAGGATGCCGCCAGTTTCAGATATGGCACCAGATGGTTTTGATTTGAGCTCCTCCGCTTATTTCTTCTAACTAGCAGCTGATTTGGCTTGCTTTCTTGATCCTGCTCATTGGTTTCTGATAAGAAAGAGTCAAAGCAGTTGAATCTTTCACTCTCTACTATTTCGGTTTTGCAGGTGCATTGGCTTCTTGTTCTCATGGTTTAGCATGACATGGATCCTTTCTTGATCGATCAATGCCAGAGACTTGGCAATGAAGAAAGGGTAGCGACAGCACGAAGATTGTTTCTCCGTTAATCCTGAAACAAAGAAACAATCAATTATCGGGTCTAGGGGTTCATGGTGTGTATATGTAAGGATTAAGGAAATCATTTTGCGTTGCAGATTAAAAATTAAGGGCTGCTTGTGGTCCAGAAATCAGTGATGAAGTGGGGCTTGGATTTAATGTGTTTCTCGTATTTTCATTGATTTGTTTTGGCATTACAAAATTCACTGCCACGAGACTGTAGCATTTCCTCCTCTCTTTTTTTCAATATACAGAGAATTTTAGGCTGGCCAATTGAGATTTTCTTCTTTTAAATTGCTTCATTTTGCTTTAAAAGTAATTGCAATAACCGAACTTCATATTTACGAAATGCAGAATAGCTTTTTCTGGATTCGAACTGGCTAAATAATGGAAGCATGTATATAAAACTCAACATGAACATGGGTATGAAAAATAAGCTTTCTGCAATCAATTTGGACCTTGTAAAGTTTGCCCTAGTTGGTCCTCGGCTTGTTATAGCCCGGCTATTGTATTCAGGCCTTGTGCCGTTTTTCCACTGGTCTTGCGGCCTTATATACTATTCAATTATTTAATACCAGTTTGATTTTATAATACTCCAAAAAAATTATTTTCCAATTCAACCCAATTTCTAAACCCTAATGAAAAATATGGCCCATCTACAAAATATGATCATGTGAACATGTCAATTCTCAGGTTTTGATTATATCATATTCAACCCATCTACAAATTGTAAAATTGCAAACAAATGTTGATGTTCCTGTCATGAGAGAACAGGAGACATAACACTTGGCATAACCATGTTTCATTTTTTATTATGTTTCCTCCTCTCTGTTCCTTTTTCGAAGCAGATATTCTGGAACAAAACGTTCCTTGATGTGCAGACACAATTGTGGTTGTGTTTGCACCCTTCTGCTTTTCTTTTTTTTCCCCAGACTTGTAAGATAATCTTAAGTTAACATGTAAAGAATGGCTAGAGTAATAAGTCGAATCTCCTATCCTAGTAGATGGCGATAATAATTAGGTGAAGCTCAAATAAAATAAATATAATTGAATTCAATAGAGCAATAATTGAAATAGAAATTTCTTTTTTTAGGCTTTAGAAATTAAGGGTGTGTTTGAGTACGAGTTGTAATTGATTTTTTTACAGGACTCACATAAAAACATGTAATTTTTGCTTCCGTGGAGTGTGATTTATGCTTTAAAAAGGTTACATCTTTAAAAACTACCATATCTCCAAGTTAAACACATATTTAATGGGCTAAATTCAAAAAAAAATTCTTTGAAAAGAGAGAATTGAGCATATAAAAAAGAAAAAAAATTATTAGAGCAATAATTGAATTAAAAAACTCTATTTTCCCTCCTTCACAATCTTAAGTGGTAAACCATCCAAAATAAATAAATAAATAAATCATAAACTCTAACTTACTAAGTCAATAATTAAACTAGCAACATCATTAAATAAACTTGATCTAGTAACCATGATTTTACCTTCTTTTCGACCACATCTTCCTCTAAAAACAAACCTTGTTCTAGATTTTTTTAAGACCAAGCTCCGGAAAAAAAAATCAAGAAATACCTATAAAAGGCCTAGGATATACCTCAACAATAGTCCCTAAACGAAACTCTCCTTTCACTTTAAGGATTTTATGGTTGTTTTCATAATTTTTGTTACTGTTTTTTTTTATATTCATATTCAAAACATGTCTAACATGCATCATCACTTCACATATCTATTTTATGTTTGCATATGATTTGGATGCTTTTCCATTGTTTCCTATAGTCGAGTCAATTTTAGCACCTTCACAACTAGTTAGAACCATTATTGAATGTTAGCTTTAAAATCCTAAACATTATTTTTTAGTTTGTTTTGCATGAATTTCGATTTAATGAGTATGAAATTTGATATATTTTAAACAAACTTTAATACATCAGTAAGAATAATGTTTGGTTACGTTGGTTGATGATTAGATTAATGGTTTAGGGTTCAAAATATTTTTCAAATATTATAATTTTATTCATATTTGTCTTTTTTGCATATATAATAATAAAAATATTGTGAATTTAGATCTGCATGCTTGGGGTGCCACTAACAGTACCCTCTTAAAATACTTTTCTAGTCATCCATTCAATTGCTTTCAAAGAGGAGAGTCACCTATGATGACAATATTGTTTTCAAAATTATATATATAAATATCTCAGTCATTATTTTAGGTCACTAGGGTCCTTTACTGGGCAAACTTTTATCATAAAAGTATATTAAAGCTCTTACTTTAGGTATGATGTATATGATGATTGTTATATTTTCTGTTACATAAGCAGCCTTCATCTACAACATCTGAATACTAGTTAGAGTTTCTAGTTGTAAATTATCCATGAGAGTTTAGTGGTTTCATAAGCGTTATCTAAATCATAAAACATTATAACACTACTACTTCCTCTCTTAACTTAAAACAATATGTGTACGAAAGAAAATGTTCTGTTGTATATACATAGGTACAACTCCATATAGAATTTCAATTTTTTGTTAAAAAAACTTATCAACACCAGTCATATACATATCAATCAATCATGTACAAAGATATGGATATATTAAAGGTTTTTTAAAAGCATATATAGGTGCATATTGGCTTGTTTTTGTGGGGCTTGGTCTTAGAAAAAATCTAGAACAATGTTTGATTTTAAAGGAAGATTTGGTTTCAAATAGAAAAGGAGACAAGATTGTGGTCGCTAAATCGAGCTTATTTGGTAATGCTAAAGGTTCGATTAGGTTTTGGTTATCAATTGGTGAGCTGGAGTTTGTGGTAGGCTTAGAAACGATGATGGTGTTGAGATGTCTTAGGTTTGCTATTAGTTAGGATTATGAATAAAAGAGACAAGAGATAAGGGTCGCTAGGTTTTTTAAAATATTTTTTTATCCAATTTTTTTCTCTTCTCATATCTTTTCTGCCACTATACTATTCACCTCTTTATTTATACTATCCCTAAAATTCATATATTCTTCCTTAAATTTCTTATTCTTGTACCTTTAAAAACATTTCGCTCTTTTCTTTTCTCTTATGTTGTTTTTTTTTCAATTATTTTTTTATTTTATTTTTTAACTTGTTTGGATATGGGGTTTTCAATGTTCAAATTAATCCTTATCCTTTTCTTAACTGTATTATACTCATTAACAACAATTCTCAACCTTATCCTTGTACTATTGGTTTTTTTAATTGATTAATTTTAAAAAAAGTTTAAGCTAGAGTTTTTTTTTAAAGATTTTTCCATAAAAATAAAAGGTTAAAAAATTATGAATCATTAGAGGTTGGCCAAATCACATTTAAAATATGTTTTTGAGAATTTTTAGATTTTTTTAATTTCTAAAAAGACATCAATAAAAAGGTTAAAATGAAGTTATAATAGCCCTAACATGACACAATTTACTTGTTAGGTTCAAAAGCAAGTCAAATGATTAGTAAAAATATGGTGTGGGTTTAAACATAAATTTCAAAGTCACATAACTTTTTAAAGAATATTAAGATGGCGATTTATTGGATCAATTCGGGTTTCTCAGCTAACTAAATATCAAGCATTTATTTGAGAACACGATAAACCTATAAATATCAAACTAAAACAAATTGTGTTACTAATTAAAAATCAATAATATATTAAAGGTTGAAATTGAGGGGATAAACATCAAGAAAAATCAATAAAGATACAATTGGAAAGGATAGAATTGGGAAAAAGATTAATTAAGAAAATAAAAATAAAGGGGAAAAAGTTTAGGTGTATAAGCTTAGGGCAATCAACGTGTTTTGTCTTGCTTAATCATTTTTTTTTCTTATAGGATGACACATTGCTTGTTATTTTAGATCATAATCACCATAAGTGGAAAACAAATAAAAATTATACAAAATGGTAAAAAAAAATAGAAATAAAAAAATAAGGATCAAATTGAAAAAAATACCATATTATAAACTGTGATTGAATGATAAAATTAAAAATAAATAAGATTTTTTTAAAAATGATTAAGAATAAAAATTAAAAGTTGAAAGAATAAGAATCAAAGTTGAAATATTAATAACTTAGAGAACAACTTTAAAATTTTGAATGACCAGCGTGATTTTCGAGGGGATGAGAGAAAAAAGGGGGGGAAAGAAAGCTCAATTGATAATATTTTATCCTACAACCATGCACTTCCCTACTAAGAAGAAGACACTACAACTATTCTAAATATATGATAAAGAAGGCTTTTTAGCCACTTAGAGACGTCGCAAGAGCCGTTAGAAAGCTACAAGCGCATCCCTTCCACTATAAGTTAAACATATTTCATGTTTATTAAAAGGATAAATTTTCTTCAACCAACTTGATAGTAACAAAAAAAAAAGGTTGGAAAGATTAAAAAAAAAATACCTATGGACATAAGCTTTGAAAATTTGCTTTCAAGACCAATTAAGCTTCAAAAAGTGAAAAGATAAAAGAGCCTTTAGATGCTAGTTTTCAAATTTTTGCTTCTAAGGGTAAATTATTATTTAAAATGTTCTTTTAAAACTAAAAAAGATAATTTTATCTCTAATCAATCTAGTAGTTACCATTAGGCTTTATGAAAAGAGCAAAATATCCCAACACCAAGACCATCAATTTGTTTAAAATGGAATATGGTACTTACACTATTTTCGTAAATAATAAAATATGTATAGGTGTACAATAAATTTCCCTTCAATTTTAGCTTTCTTTTAATGATAAAAGTTTACATTGCTTATCTTAAAACAATGAAAAAAAAGGCTATTATGATTTGTCTAATGTGATTTTTCACAAATGTATGAAATTGAATAAGCAATAATAATGATGAAATAGAGCATTGAATCCATAAAACAAAGGTGGTCATTTTTTGTTTGGTTTGATTTTGAGTAAAAAAACCATCTAAACTATTAAAACAAAATAATATTGAACCATAAATTAGTTCAAACTAAAATGTTTCAGTTTAATTTATTGTTATATTAAACTAGCAAAACTTATGTGTAATGACCTATTTTTACCCTTAACTTTTCTATGTATATCTTCAGTCAAATTTAACTTTTGGCATTTAATTTTTTTTTATCATAATGATAATAATAAAAAAATTAAAGACCAAGGCTAAGTGGAGGTTGGAGTAAGCCACACTAAGTTGATATTATATC